GTGGGGCCCGGCACCATCTCCAGCAGCCACCGACTTCACCCTCTTACATTTTCTTGGGGAGGCTGTCAGGGGACCCCTGGTGCCTGGATGTCTTCTTACTTGTGTTCTGCCAGGGCCCCTGCTGCATCCCAAAGGCGGGGACGTGGCCATCGCGCTCAGTAAGTAGGTGTGGAGCGTGCGGAGCTAAGACACTAGACGTGAGCATGTCCATGCTGCTCCTGTGGGGACGCAAGATTACATCCCCAGGCTCGGGTCGTGAGGCCATAGGCTGGGGCTAGAGCCGCCCCTGGGTCAGTGGTCAGTGAATTTAACTCTGAACTGTTAACCCAGCTCACGGGGTTGGCGGGGCAGTGCCTAGCAATGTCTGGGCGGTCAGGAAAGGCTGCTGGGGGCACGCATGGTGAGCTGGACTTTGTGTGGGGGGGTGTGGGGGTGTGGGTGGGTGAGGGTCAGAGCCAGGCCCCTCTGCCCAGCAACGGCCTCTCTGGAAGAGGGGCTCCTGCTGTTCCCGGGGCTCTGGTGCCCCCCACCTGTGTCCACATCTGCACATCACGCCAAGACCGTGTGTGTGTGATACGCACACCCACATGCAGACGGAAGAGCAGCTCTGTTTCTCCAGAAACAGAGACTCGGTTTCCCCGATGGCCGGAGTTGGAGGTGTGGATGCTGCCCAGGGACAGCGATCTGTGATGACCGTGGGCGGGGAGGTGGAGTCCCCACGAGAACTCAGTGGGCTTCGTGAGCCAAGCAAGCTCCCACTAAGCGGATGAGGTGCCGGGCGTACGACCGGGCTCCGGGGCAGGTCCTGACCCATCGTGGGGTGTGGCCCCCACCAGGGCTGCTCTCCACAGGGCTCGGCTTCTTGTTGGTTTCCACAAAGCGCTAGCACTGACTGGTCCTCTCGCGGACCCATGGAAGCTTGGGAGCCATCGGTTGAGGACAGAACAAGGCTTCTGGACAACAGGACCCTTGTCCGGGCTGGGGCTATCAGGGAATGTGCCCCCCAACCCCCCCACGGAGGAGCCCCAGGCCCCAGCTTCCTGCTGAGACCAGGTTAGGCGGCCTCCTGGGGCCAGGGCCAACGGCTGTGGGGGTGGAGTGCAGGAAGGAGCCCTCCACCCCTGGGCTCTACTTGGGACCAACCAAGATGCAAGGCAGGGCTACTGCTTAGGGCTCCTGGCTCCGTGTTCAGCTGGGGTGCTCCTGGGGCTGCTTCCCCTGGGAGGAGGAGGGGCTGGGGCCAAGGTGGGAGTTTCTGGGTCCCCCTACTCAGACGGAGCCCCTGAAATGGGCTGGGTCCCCCCTCCCCCATCCCCTGAGGGCACCCGACCTGCTCTGTCACTGCGTGGGGGATGGGCTGTGGTGCTCACACAGGGACGGGTGACCCTGGGCTTGGCAGGGGCACTGATGGAGTGGGAAGTGGGGCACGTGTCCCCTGAGCCCCACTGGGGGGCCACCCAAGCTGTTTGCCTTGGAGGAGTGGAGGGTCCTCGTCGGGCGGCCTCGGATCCGACCTGTCCTTGGCACCCTTCCCGGAACCCCGCTTCCAGCCCCACCAGGCAACCCCTGCTCAGGCGCCTGAGACCCTGGGGCGGGCACTGGGCAGCCCGGGGTCCTGGGCCCAGAACAGGGCACTTAGGAAGCCCAGGTCATCAAAGTGTTTTCCCAAGCTGTTGGGCACAGCTGGTATTTTCAGTCTCGTCCAAGGGATCTCTCCCCACGTCCACGTCTTCCCCTGCAGGGTCCTCAGTCTGGGAGTACAGCGAGGAGGCCCACCCTCCCCTCTGCTCCCCTTCCTTCCCCTCCCCTCCCACCGTCACCTCCAGCGTGGCCCTGTGGAGCTCCGGCCTCCCAGCCCCTCCTGCCTGTTGTCCATTGGCTGGCCTATCACCTTTACCCCTGACCCCTCCTCACTCCCCACCTGCCCTGAGCCCAGCCTCCCAGCTGCTCTCCCGCTCCTTCCATCACCCCTCTGTCCATCCTCAACCAGCAGTGGGGGTCTGAAGGACAAGGCAGGGCTGAACCACCTCTGCCCGGACCCCCAGGGCCCCCTCACTAAGGGCCCCCAGGACTACAGCCTGGTCCTCGCTGACCCTTGCACCCCACTCGACCACCTGGCCACCTTTCTCTTGGCCTACCTCGGACGCACCAGCAGCGTGTACAGCCTGGGACCCCTGCCCCCCGCCCACAGGCCCCAGAATCCCCCCACCTCAACCTCTTGCCCTTTTCTGCCTTACTGCCCGGCGGCCTTCTTCCGAGTAATCTGTGTGCTCTGCCCACCATTGCCCAGCTCAGCCAGGCCCGGGAGCAGGAGGGTCTCCCTCAGGCCCCAGCCCCCCTGGCCAGCGGGGGCTGCCGTGCTCCAGCGTGCACCCCTGGGTCTGACTTCCCTGTGCCTTGTCACAGCAGACTGGACGTGTGAGGGCCTCTGACACAATGCATTTGCCAACTTCCTCCCCAGACCTCACCGCGGCGGCTCCGCCTGGGGCCACGTGGGGCAGCCGTCTCGGGCGCACACTCCCCTCGGCTCCTTCTTCCGGTCCTGCTCTGTGTCCCACATGTCCCCAGTCCAAGGCGCGGCCATTCCCCGCCCCCACCGCCCGCCGGACGGCCGTTCACAGCACGGTTCTGACACTATGGACGTTTCCAGAGGGGCCGAGGGTCATGGGTCCGGCCACCAAGCCAGACTGTCGTTGCTTCTGGTGGCTTCTGCTGATTCCGCTGGGTTTTCTCTTGTAGGTGGACACTTCGTCTGCTGCTTCCTGCCCACAGAGTGTGTCACTGGGCTGAGGTGCGCCCAGGTCTTCACAGGGGCCGGCCCACTGCCGGCACGCCATGCCCACCTGGAAGGGGGCGCCCCGAGGGCAGCACCCGTGTGTCCAGCGTCCAGCAGGAGTCTACCAGCTGCCCTCCTGCCTCATTCCCAAGCCCAGAAGTCCTCACTCTGTCCCCAAAATCATCCTTCTTTGGTCTCTGCTCCCAAAGCTTAGGGGGCCGCCCCAGAGGCCTCTGTGTCCGTCACCCAAGGCCCCTGGGCTCTCTGCGAAGCCAACCCAGCACCAAGGCCCAGGTCTGTGGCCAAAGAGGTCAGAGTTGTAGCCCCCGCGCGCCCCGGGGCCTTGGGGCTCTGGCTCTGGAAGCAGCTGCAACCCGCCCACATGGTCACAGGCTCCCCAGCATCCTGTGTCCATCTCTGGGCGCGCTTGGTGTCCCTGGTTTGGGCAGAAGCTGCCTCCCCATCTGGACTCTCCAAGCACGAGTGCGGAACAGCTCTTCCCGTCAGAGCCACCAGCATCCCACCCGGCCCTGGAAGGCTCTCCGGGCCAGACTCGGAAGAGGCCGTGGGAGGTGGGGTCTGGAGCTGCCCAGGGCAGCCAGGCCCATGGGGGCCACTTCTGGTCACTTATCCCCACCCCAGAGATGACAACTCATCCCCACAGCCTCCTGCAGCCTCCCTGTGGGAAGAGCCTCCTGGGGGTCTTGGTGGCTACACCTAGCTTGCAGCTCTTTCCAGAAACAACTTGCATAATCTGGCCAGGGCTGCTGGGGCTGGGGCTGGCGGGCAGGGACCCGCTCTCTGGTTACTTCCTGCCGCCAGCCCCAGATCCAGGCAGGGGGCTGGGCCGTCCCCAGGGGGTGGGGGATTAGTCACTGCACCCTCCACCCCGAGGAAGAGGCGGCTCCCTCTGACACCCGAGCCGCTCAGGGGGGTCAGTGGCACTGACGTGGGTGCCGCCCACACCCGCGGGGTCAAGCGGTCAGTGGAAGAGCGGCTCCCGAAGCCAGAGGCCTGAGAATGTGCGGCTCCCAAGGAGGGCGTCCGCGGGGCCAGCAGCCTGTTCCCTGCCCCCGTGTGGCCGTGGCCGTCCACCTCACACTCAGGTGGTCTCCTGAGCCCAAGGGAACCCCTCCGGCACCAGCTGGTCACTGATAGGAGGGGTCAAGCTCCGAGGTCGGTCCCCCTTGCCGTGTGGCTGCAGCGACGGCTGGGCCGGGCCGGGCTGGGGACTGGACCAGGGGTGAGGGCAACACTGTCCTGGTGGGTGCACTACAGAAACTGAAGGGTGGTGCCGGCCACACCCGGGCTGCTCTGACCAGGTCTTGGGAGCAAGGTGAGCCCTGTCCACACTCCCAGGGCTGCTGTGGGGCTGGGTCCAGCCTGAGGCCAGCGTGTTGCTGGGGGTGTGGTCTGGGGCCTCCCCCAGGGCCTCCAAGGAAGGGGTTGAGGAACGTGGAGGTTCTCAGGGCAGAGTTGGGGTCCCAGGGAGGATGAGGGGAGGGGCAAGGGTTTGGTCTGCGGTGGGCCTTTGTGCTCACGAGTGCACACACACCCAACCCGGTGTCTATGTGGTGAGGGGTCTGATGCTTTGTGGGTAAAAGACGGAGCCCTCTTCTAGAAGGTTCCTTCAGCACGCAAGGCCTACTGGTGTCCGGTGTGACCAGCGGGGTGGATAGGCAGGGCCATACAGGACGCCCTCCCTCCCTCTATTCTGTGCATGGATACGTGCTGTTCCCCAGCAGCTGGAGGCAGCAGGGCCCCGGCCGACCTCCCTGGCTGCCTGGTCCTGGGGGCCGGCTGAGGGTGTGGAGTGGGCCCTCTGGCACCCAGTCTGTCCCCACCCCATTCCTGGGTTTTACAGACAAGCTTAAAAACCACAGAGTCCACACGTTGCAAAATGCTCCAAGTGTATTTGTGAATCCAGTTGGTCACTTCCTGTGGCCCAGGGCCGACAGGGTGAGGCTGTGCCTCCTGGTGGCAGGCCAAACAGCCGGGCACCCAGTCCAAGCGACCACCGTGATGCTCAAGTCCTGGGAACGCAGGCTGGACCCGCGGCCAGAGGAGCCCTGCCCGCCCCAGCCTGGTCCCAAGCGGGGCTGCAGGTTGGTCGGGGCCGCCGCACATCCAAGGGCCAGCCGGACCCCGGGGAGGGGCGAGGTGGGCGGGCAGGGCAGCCTGGTCTCGGTCCCCTGGAGCCGAGGCTGTAGGGAATAGGACGCTCTTATCGGTGTATCCCAGACGGGGGTGGCCGGGAGCCCTGAGGACGGGTGCTGGTCAGTCGGCTGGGAGGGCCTGTGGCCCTGGCCCCGCTCTTCCCGCCCGCACGCTCCATCTCCTGGCTCTGGTCCTCATCGCTCTGCATAGACCCCGACCCCTCCGCGTGGCCCGGGGTGCCGTGAGATCCACAGCGCTGCCCCACGCAGCCACACTCCTCCACGTGGGGGTAGCTGAAGGCCTGGCTGGAGCCGTCCTTGCAGTGCAGGGTCACGTTCCTCAGGGAGACGCGCAGCCCCTGGCAGCACTCACAGCGGTGCTGCATGGCGTTGGCCTCCTGGGAGTACCTGTGGGCGGGGCCTGCTCAGCGCGGGCGCCACGTGGCCCGCAGCCACGTCAGACCCCAAGCGCCCCACCTGTGTCGCGGCCACCTGCTCTCAGAGGCGCTCCGGCCTGTAACAGGCGCACGCGCCCACGCGCCCCTTGTGGGGTGTGAACACTCCCGCAGCTGACCAGGCCGCCAGAGAGCCACGGCTGACCCCCAGGCATGCCACCAACGGGGCCGTTGAGTCTGTGGTCCCCAAACCCAACAGCCGGATGCCCGACAGTCCACGGGCCGCCGCCCCCGCCGCCCTGCCCCCGCCCTTCTCCATCCCCGCGCCCAGTGTAGACCCTGCCCCGCGCAAGCGGGCCGGGCTGAGGAAGGGGCTCACGTACATGGAGGCGCTGTCCCCACAGTTGCCCTGGCAGTAGGCCAGGGGCACAGGCTGGAGGGAGCTGCAGCCTTGCTGCTTGATGACCCGGGACTCGTTAAACATGGCGCAGCGCGAGTCTGGGGGCGACACAGGAGGCCGTGCAGAGGGTCAGGACTGGCCGGGAGCCCTGGGCCCCCCCGGGCGGATCGGCCACCCCCCGAGGACATCCCCGCTCACTGGGCTGGGATGGGAATGGAGGACAGGACACACAGCAACCATCCGCGCTCGGCCGGGCCTGGTCCTGTGCCGACAAAAGGGCTGCCGTGAGGGCCGGGGCAGCCGTCCCAGAAGTGGGGGGACGCACAGGAGGGGACAGTGCCCCACGGAGGCGGGCAGCACCCCCACGGCCACCGCACCGGGCCGACCTCGGCTCCCCACCCCCACCCCCGGGCGAATCTTGCGGTGGCCTCCCGTGGGCGCCCAGGGGGCCAGGCGGGGCTGTGGGCTCCCAGAGCTCACCGCAGGACAGCGGAGTGGGGGACACGCCTTCTTCCTGGTCACCACCACAAGCCCGTCCCGGTGCTCCTCACACTCGTGGGTCACACAGGGGTTCCCAGGGTCTGACCAGGACTGGCCGGGCTGCAAGGAGGAGCCGGCCAGCAGGGTGAGCGGGCAGGGGAGGCCTGTTGTCCGCCTCCCGGCCTGTGGGCTTCCAGAGCCCTCCTGGCCTCTGCCAGGCGCAAGCCCCACAATGACCGCTCCCCAGGGACCCCCAGTGCGCCAGGACGCGGCCGGCTCAGCACTCCCCACCCCTGCTGCCACTGTGCACCTCACAGCAGCTCCATCCAGGCAGGGGTGGGACCTGGCCCCGAGCCCCGGCCTCCCCCGGAGCTCCTGGGAAGTGTGGCCTCGCCCCAGCCAGGGCTCACCCGCGGCCCCGTGGCCCCGAGCCCGCCCACAGCCAGGACTCACGTAGAAGACGTGGACGGAGCTGTCGCTGGTGTTGAGGACGCAGGCCTGCGGCTCGCACCCACCGCAGCACCGCCCGCTCTGCTCCCGGTACTCGAAGCCCTGCGGGGAGACGTGGCCATGCAGCCTGAGCCCCAGCACCGGCTGCCCCGGGCGGCAGGACGGGGCGGTGGCAGCAGGCACTCACCAAGGGGCAGCGGGTGTCGCAAATCTGGATCTCGCAGCTGATCACGGCCGTGTCCGAAGAGGGACGGCCGGGCACCTCGCATCGGCACGTTTCACACAGACTGGAGGAGACCACGGAGCCGGGCTGGGGAGAGTCGGGGCGGCCAGGGCCGGTGAGCTTCCGGAACGTCCCCCTCCGGGTCTGGCCCCCGCTAGGCAGGCCGGGCCCGCTGGGTGACCCTAGGTGCTGCCTCCTGGTGGGGGGGCGGGGGGCCCCAAGCCTGCGCCCTGTGACCAGGGTGCCCAGGGAGGTCACATGCTCAAGAGGGCCCAGCCGGGGGAAACTGAGGTTGGGGGCCCTCGTCACGTTCAGGAGAGAGCCGAGGGATGCGGGCCTCGCCCACCCTGCTGACGCTGAGGAGCGGCGAAGCCGGGGAGCCGAACTTGGCCTCAGCTACGCGGGGCTGTGGGCTGTGGTCCCCGAGAGCTCACGGCTGCTGGAGGTGCACCCGGGCTGGCGGGGGGCCTGGCACGGCCGGCAGGCCCCATCTCGGGGCGAAGCTGGCAGGGGCAGGGACAGGGAGGGCTCAGCTCCCTGGGTGCCACGGGGGTCCCAGCCTCCGTGTCGCTCTTACCTGGTACAAGGTGCCATTGATGCTGCAGACACTCCAGCCTGTCCGAGAGGGGACGCGCAGTCTCACAGATCCACCCTCACCCCCTGCCGCCCCCCGGCCCCCCGGCCCCCAGAGCAGTGGAGACCGCACGTATCGCGGGAGTGGGCTGGCCACGGGCATCAGGCAGTGGTGCCCCAGCTGCGCCTTTGTCCAGGGTCACCCCGAGCCACAGAGGACCCTGAGAGAGACTCCCCCACCCCCCCTGCGCAGTGCCCGGGCGGCCCACGAGGAGGTTGCAGACACTCACTGCAGTTCTGGCTCGGGCAGCAGGCCCCCTCCTCGTAGGTCAAGATCAGGCCGGAGCCCTCGGGACAGGCCACGGGCTTGGGGCAGTAGCTGGGGTCACAGGCTGCGGTGGACGGGAGGGTCCACTCAGGGGCCTGCGTCCGGCTCTGCACGCCCCCACTCCAGCCCAGTGCTGTCCCCAGGGGTCCCCAGCAGTGCCGCCCACCCAGCGGGCCAGCTCTCCAAGGGCCGGGCCACTCTGGGTGGCCTGGGCAGAGGAGCCCCTGCCCTCCTGGCATACCCACCCGTCCCAGAGCACGTCTGTTGGGGGGGGTCACCGGCTGAGGCCTTGTGGGGGGCGGGGGGCTGCTGTCCCCTTGGTTGTGCCCCCCCCCCCCGTGCAGCTGGTGGGCAGGGGCCCTGTGCACTCAGGCGGAGGCAGGGGGGCAGCAACTCCGAGCTCACCGCAGTTGTACTGGGGACAGCACTGGTCGGCCTGGGGGGCTGCAGGCACGGGCACGAAGCCGGGCACGGGGCAGGCTGGGGGCAGGGGGCAGGGCTTCCTCTGACAGATCAAGGTCAGCGTGCTGTTCCCACAGGTGCACTCCTGACAGTCCACGTGGATGGTGTGGCCGGGCTGCAGGCGAGGCACGAGTGAGCCCAGGACCCTGGGCCTGGCCCCCGCCGGTCCAAGCATGGCTGCAGCCAGACAGAGGGGTGCCGGGAGCCCACGGCTGAGGGCCGGCGGGGGAGCCGGGGGGAGCCGGGGGGAGCCGGCGGGGAAGAGGGCTTCAGGGGCGGGAGATGGGTGGGAGGCGCCAGGTGGGTGACCACCTCCGTTCTCACTGTGAACCAGTGGAGCAGGAGGGGGCCCCACTAGAGGATAGGACAGGGCCACCCCAGGGGCGGGCGCCCCCCTCTGGGAGCCTTGACCCCTCCCTGCCCCTCCTCTGAGGCTCTGGCACTGAGAGGACGCCCCGCCCCCCACCCCAGCTGGCCACACTCACCTCCACAGGCTCCCCGTGGGGCCCCAGGCACTCTGGAGGGAGAGAGATTGAGGTCACAGGTGGGCAGCCGCGGCCCCCCACCTTTCAGGGGCAGGACCCATGTTGGGGGCCCAGGCGGTCCCGAGCCGCAGCAGAAAGCCCCAGGATCTGGCTGGGAAGCACAGATCCATGGGGGGAGCTGGTCCTGTGCACCTGCCAGCCCCCAGCCCCACCCATGGGCACATACTGTGGCAGTCTATGGGCACACAGACGTCAGAGCTCGTGCTGAAAGGCATCATGTCCTCTGGACAGAAGCAGCCTTCTGTGATGGGGCCAGCGTCCTGCAGAGCCCTGTGGGGACAGCAGAGGGCTGGCCTGGTCCCTATGCCCCCCAGGGTAGGAGAAGGCCAGCCGGGGGCTCTGGGGAAGGCCTAGGAGGGAGAGGCAGGTGCGTACATGAGGCTGGTGTTGTCGCTCCCGTAGCAGTAGGAGAGCTTGGACGGGCCACAGGGCTGGTACACCTTGTCAGTGGGGCAGGTGAACGCTGTGGGGTGGGGGGCACAGCTGAGGCCAAGGGCACCAGCCCAGAGCAAACTCCAGGCCTTGCCGTGAGCCTCATCCCTAGGAACCCACTGAGTGCCTGACGCCTGCCGGGGGCTCTGCAGCCCAGAAGCTGGCCCCCTAGGGCCCCACCCCTGCATGCCCTGCCTGCCCACAACTGCCACCCCTGCGCTCCAGGCCCCGGGCACCCCGACCTGGGGGCCCCCACTACTCGCCAGGAGCTGAGTACACTCTGCCCTGGAGTCAAGCCTCCTCCTCCAGGAAGCCCAGCTGCTGACCGCCAGCCCGGCGTGTCTGTCCCTCGGCCACTAGCCGCCCACCGTGGCTCGCCGGGACAGGGCAGGCACTCACGGCACGCGTGGCTGGTGTGGTTCCTCCAGTGGATGCACACGCCGCGGGAGGCGCAGAGGGACGCGTACAGCTCCAGGCTGGAGCATACCACGTCCGAGTCGGTCTTATGGCACCAGTCGAAGACGCAGCCTTGGTAGAAGGTCATCGGGGGGATCACAGCGTGGCACTGCTCAAAGACCCTGTGGCCAGCGAGGCCAGGTCAGGGGGCAGCCCGGGCTTTGCCCTAGGTGTGCGTGCCCCGAGGAGGACGGCCCGCCGCAGCACGGCTGTTTCTTTCTCAGATTCTCCCCTGGGCCTCCCCGTCGGCCCGGAGACCGGGTGCTGCCCTGGGGTGATGACGCGGGCCCAGACCCACAGCGAGCTAGCGGAAGCCGACCCACCCGGCCGGCCCGGCGCCTGGTGTCCCAGCAGCGACCCGCGGCTCTGCTCCACCCGCCCCGACCCCCTGCTCCCTTGGGAGCCGCGTAGGCGGTGGAGGGTGGGGTCGGGGGGCTGCCTGCCTGGGCCCCTCCCCAAATCTCACTTGCTCAGAATCAGCTGGCAGATTGAGGACGACGAGCACGGGGTGGGCGAAGGCGTGGGCCTGGCTGGAGGGGGCGTCGGGGAAGGTTCGTGGCAGAGTGGCTGGTGGGGTGCTGTCACCTTCCAGTGGCCGGACATATCGGAGCAGGAGGCCGCCACCGCCCCCCCAGGCAGGCGACACTCATCCTTCTTGTCATTGGTGCAGGTGCCTGGGGTCGGAGGGGGGTTGGGCGTCAGGCCGGCAGGGGACAGCCGAGAGCCCCCGACCCGCGGGCCGCGGGGCCCCCGAGCTGGGGGTGGGGCCCTGGCGCTCGGGGCAGCCCTGATGGGTTGGCTGAAGGACCTGACCCTAGGCGTTTCCCTACCCCCTGTGGAGGGTGGATGGGTGTGAGCCTCGGGCGTGGGGCACAGGCCCCGGCCCCTCCGGTGCACGTCCCGCACATTCTCGGTGCGGCTGGAAAGCAGAAACACCTGCAGGCTCGGGGCCACGCGAGCAGCCTCCGCCCCGGCCGAGAACGCGGTCCCCGGGGGTCTCCCCCCGCGCGACCCTTCCCACGGCGGACACTCTCGGCTATGTGCCTCCCGCAGAGAAAGGGCCCCGCGTCCGCAGGGCCCGGTGGGGACGGGACTCACCGCACTGGCCCTCTGTGTTGTTAGCAAACTTGCTGAAAGGCACCTCCACCGAGAAGATGAGGCCGGAGAACATGACCTGGACGCCAAGCTCGGGGATGGTCACGTACATCTTGATGCCGATTTGGAACACATTCATGCCATCCTTCTGGAAGCCGGGCCTGACCACTTTCTCATTGAAGATGATCTAGACACGGCCGAGGACGAGGCAGAATGAGGCGGCGCCCCCGGCCGCCCCGGTCCGCGGGGAGCTGCCGGGGGGGCTCCCCACCTCGTTGGTCATCACACCGAGGACGGGCTTGCGGGTCAGCACGACGCGGTCCTGCCGGTACTCGACGATGATGGACTGCGGGCAGGAGAGCCCGTCCTCGGCCCCACAGAAGTAGTTGTTGATGAGCACGCGGAAATGCTCATACACGGGCATGATCTGCTGCACCAGCACGTATGTGCAGTTGCCCAGGAATGTGTAGTACGTGCCGTCGAAGGTGACGTAGTGGGGGTCGCCCCAGCCGCTGCACACACCTGCGGGCGCAGAGCGGCCTTACGCGGGGCCTCCCGACTGGCTCGTCTGCCCCGGGACGCACTTGCCCGCACTGGCACAGGACTCCGTCCGGCGGGAGCCGAGGAGGCCTGAGCGGGGGGCCAGGCCCTCTCGCCTCCTGCCTCCTGACACGGCCCCGGGGGCCCTGGGGCTCGGGCGGGATTCCCCTCGGCGCCCCGGTGGAGGCCTGGCGCCATCCATTCCCCACCTCGCTGTCGGGCAGTCCTCCCTGCTGGCTCACCCAAGTGCATCCCGCCCCCTCGGCGGGACACCCTGGGCCCCACTGCCCCGCCTGGCTCCCGGCTCACACTGGCACTGGTAGCCTGGACAACAGCCGTCGTGGTCGGCCACCTTGGCGGGGGGGAAGCCGTTGGCACAGGTCGGCGGCTGAGCGTGGGGACAGCGGCGCTGGTGCACGCTGATGACTGCGTTGCCCTCACAAGTGGCCTGAGAGCAGTTGGGCGTGGGCCAGGTCTCGCCTTTCTGTGGAAGGACGGCTCTCAGCCTGGGGAGCCTGCAGTCCCCCAAGACGGGAGCCGCGGGAAGCCAGCAGGGGACGGGACCTGCCCTGTCCAGCCCCTGCCACCCTGTTCCACACACAGGGCCTCCCCCCGGAGCGCTGCCCCGACCCCACACTCCCTCCCCGGCTGCCCGGCCCCACCCGCTCGGGCACCCGTCATCTGCTGGTTGCACACACTCCCGGCTCCCCGGTTGGCACCCCCTCTCGGCAGCCCTGCAGGACCAGAACCGGCCACTTCCCAACAGTCAGCCTGCTTCAGCCCGCGGGTGACTGACTTTCCCGCCCACAGCTGAACTGGAAAGATGCCGAGAGTCCCTGTACCAGCCTCTGAGAAGGGCAGAGAGGGGGAGTTACCATTCTTGGGGGGACTGCGTTGGGGCACCCCTGCTCAGTGATAGGCACGGAGGTCGACGGGGAGAAGCCGTGGGGGGAGGTGGCCGGGGCAGGAGGTGACACGCTGCTGGGGCAGGACTGGTCCGTCCGCCTGACCACGCGGCAGTCCAGAGTGCACACGGCATAGTAGCAGTGACCGGCGAGGTCGGTCTGTTGGTAAACGATGGATCCTGTGAGAGAAAAGACCAGGCGGGGGTGAGCGGAGCCGTGCTGGGGGAGAGCCGCAGCCCAGAGTGGCTCTTCCAAGCTCCACGTCCACACGAAGGGCAGACCTGGTAGAGGCCTTCCTGCCCAGAAACAAAAGGAAGAAATCCTCAAAGATGGCTCAGTGCCGCGCTCGGAGACACCCTGTAGCCCAGCGGCACGGGCAAGGGACCCGCCCCTCTCCCAGACACCACGGCTTCCTGTGCACAGGACAGCAGCGGCCGGGGGCACCACACGCGGTGCACATACCTGCGGAGTAGAGCTTGCCAGACACGCTGCAGTAGCACGTCGTGGTGGGTGGCGCCACGGAGCTGGGCAAAGGCACAGCGGACACCACGGAGGTAGGCTCGGGAGGGGACGAGCGCTTGGTAGGTGAAGTCACGTGGGGCTTCACAGAAGTGTGACTGCAGTTCTCTGGGGGCTCACAGCACAAAACCCGGACCTCATAGTTGAGGCACATCCCGACATCGCCCTCCTGGTCCCGGTTCCGGCACACCAGGCCCTTGCTGAGGTTGCACTGCACCACCTGGCCCAGATTCTCGATGCTGACCTCGGGGTGGCTCTCGGCCCGGCACTCCAGCTGCGAGATGGATTCGGGCCGGCGGCAGATTTTCTCTCCCCTTTTCTTGATGTTGCAGTAGGTTTCCGTGTCTCCTCCATGTGGCCCCGGGGACGGGAAGTCCACGTCAAACCACTTGGTCCACGTGCATTGTGGCTGGCAGGTGACAGTCACATGAGGGGAGTGGGTTGTTTCAGATGTGAGAACAGGGGTTGTGCTGGTTGTAAGAGCAGACGAAGTACCGGATTTGGGCACAGAGGTTGAGCTGGTTTCTGGCACAGGGGATGGGCTGGTTGTTGGCACAGAGGTTGGACTGGTTGTTGGCACAGAGGATGAGCTGGTTCCTGGCACAGAGGTTGAGCTGCTTGTTGGGACAGAGGTTGGGCTGGATTCTGGCACAGAGGTTGAGCTGGTTTCAGGCACAGAGGTTGGGGTGGTTGGTAGAACAGAGGATGAGCTGGTTCCTGGCACAGATGTCAGGCTGGTGGTTGGCACAGTGGTTTTGCTGGTTTCGGGCACATAGGTTGGGCTGGTTGTTGGCACAGAAGTTGAGCTGGTTTCTGGCACAGTGATTGGGCTTCTTGGTGGCACAGAGGTTGAGCTGGTTGTTGGGACAGAGGTTGACCTGGTTGTTGGGACAGAAGTTGGGCTGCTTGGTGGCACAGAGGTTGAGCTGGTTTCAGGCACAGGGGATGGGCTGGTTGTTGGCACAGAGGTTGAGCTGCTTGTTGGGACAGAGGATGAGCTGGTTTTAGGCACAGGGGTTGAGCTGGTTGTTGGGACAGAGGTTGGGCTGATTGTTGGCACAGAGGATGAGCTGGTTCCTGGCACAGAGGTTGAGCTGCTTGTTGGGACAGAGGTTGGGCTGGATTCTGGCACAGAGGTTGAGCTGGTTTCAGGCACAGAGGTTGGGGTGGTTGGTGGAACAGAGGATGAGCTGGTTCCTGGCACAGATGTCAGGCTGGTGGTTGGCACAGTGGTTTTGCTGGTTTCTGGTGCAAATGTTGGGCTGGTTGTTGGCACAGTGGTTTTGCTGGTTTCGGGCACATAGGTTGGGCTGGTTGTTGGCACAGAAGTTGAGCTGGTTTCTGGCACAGAGGTTGGGCTTCTTGGTGGCACAGAGGTTGAGCTGGTTGTTGGGACAGAGGTTGACCTGGTTGTTGGGACAGAGGTTGGGCTGCTTGGTGGCACAGAGGTTGAGCTGGTTTCAGGCACAGGGGATGGGCTGGTTGTTGGCACAGAGGTTGAGCTGCTTGTTGGGACAGAGGATGAGCTGGTTTTAGGCACAGGGGTTGAGCTGGTTGTTGGGACAGAGGTTGGGCTGATTGTTGGCACAGAGGATGAGCTGGTTCCTGGCACAGAGGTTGAGCTGCTTGTTGGGACAGAGGTTGGGCTGGATTCTGGCACAGAGGTTGAGCTGGTTTCAGGCACAGAGGTTGGGGTGGTTGGTAGAACAGAGGATGAGCTGGTTCCTGGCACAGATGTCAGGCTGGTGGTTGGCACAGTGGTTTTGCTGGTTTCGGGCACATAGGTTGGGCTGGTTGTTGGCACAGAAGTTGAGCTGGTTTCTGGCACAGTGATTGGGCTTCTTGGTGGCACAGAGGTTGAGCTGGTTGTTGGGACAGAGGTTGACCTGGTTGTTGGGACAGAAGTTGGGCTGCTTGGTGGCACAGAGGTTGAGCTGGTTTCAGGCACAGGGGATGGGCTGGTTGTTGGCACAGAGGTTGAGCTGCTTGTTGGGACAGAGGATGAGCTGGTTTTAGGCACAGGGGTTGAGCTGGTTGTTGGGACAGAGGTTGGGCTGATTGTTGGCACAGAGGATGAGCTGGTTCCTGGCACAGAGGTTGAGCTGCTTGTTGGGACAGAGGTTGGGCTGGATTCTGGCACAGAGGTTGAGCTGGTTTCAGGCACAGAGGTTGGGGTGGTTGGTGGAACAGAGGATGAGCTGGTTCCTGGCACAGATGTCAGGCTGGTGGTTGGCACAGTGGTTTTGCTGGTTTCTGGTGCAAATGTTGGGCTGGTTGTTGGCACAGTGGTTTTGCTGGTTTCGGGCACATAGGTTGGGCTGGTTGTTGGCACAGAAGTTGAGCTGGTTTCTGGCACAGTGATTGGGCTTCTTGGTGGCACAGAGGTTGAGCTGGTTGTTGGGATGGAGGTTGACCTGGTTATTGGGACAGAGGTTGGGCTGCTTGGTGGCACAGAGGTTGAGCTGGTTTCAGGCACAGGGGTTGAGCTGGTTGTTGGGACAGAGGTTGGGCTGCTGGATTCTGGCACAGAGTTTGAGCTGGTTTCTGGCACAAAGGTTGGGCTAGTTGGTGGCACAGTGGTTTTGCTGGTTTCTGGTGCAGATGTCAGGATGGTGGTTGGCACAGTGGTTTTGCTGGTTTCGGGCACATAGGTTGGGCTGGTTGTTGGCACAGAAGTTGAGCTGGTTGTTGGGACAGAGGTTGAGCTGGTTGTTGGGAGAGAGTTTGGACTGGTTGATGGCACAGATGTTGAGTGAGATGTCACCAGGTGGATGGTGGTCTCGGTTAGGCTGGTGGGGCTCACACTTGGGGTGTGAGGGACTGTGACAGTTTTGTGGGTAGAGCAGTTCTCTGGGGGCTCACAGCACAAAACCCGGACCTCATAGTTGAGGCACATCCCGACATCGCCCTCCTGGTCCCGGTTCCGGCACACCAGGCCCTTGCTGAGGTTGCACTGCACCACCTGGCCCAGATTCTCGATGCTGACCTCGGGGTGGCTCTCGGCCCGGCACTCCAGCTGCGAGATGGATTCGGGCCGGCGGCAGATTTTCTCTCCCCTTTTCTTGATGTTGCAGTAGGTTTCCGTGTCTCCTCCATGTGGCCCCGGGGACGGGAAGTCCACGTCAAACCACTTGGTCCACGTGCATTGTGGCTGGCAGGTGACAGTCACATGAGGGGAGTGGGTTGTTTCAGATGTGAGAACAGGGGTTGTGCTGGTTGTAAGAGCAGACGAAGTACCGGATTTGGGCACAGAGGTTGAGCTGGTTTCTGGCACAGGGGATGGGCTGGTTGTTGGCACAGAGGTTGGGCTGGTTGTTGGCACAGAGGATGAGCTGGTTCCTGGCACAGAGGTTGAGCTGGTTGTTGGGACAGAGGTTGACCTGGTTGTTGGGACAGAAGTTGGGCTGCTTGGTGGCACAGAGGTTGAGCTGGTTTCAGGCACAGGGGATGGGCTGGTTGTTGGCACAGAGGTTGAGCTGCTTGTTGGGACAGAGGATGAGCTGGTTTTAGGCACAGGGGTTGAGCTGGTTGTTGGGACAGAGGTTGGGCTGATTGTTGGCACAGAGGATGAGCTGGTTCCTGGCACAGAGGTTGAGCTGCTTGTTGGGACAGAGGTTGGGCTGGATTCTGGCACAGAGGTTGAGCTGGTTTCAGGCACAGAGGTTGGGGTGGTTGGTGGAACAGAGGATGAGCTGGTTCCTGGCACAGATGTCAGGCTGGTGGTTGGCACAGTGGTTTTGCTGGTTTCTGGTGCAAATGTTGGGCTGGTTGTTGGCACAGTGGTTTTGCTGGTTTCGGGCACATAGGTTGGGCTGGTTGTTGGCACAGAAGTTGAGCTGGTTTCTGGCACAGAGGTTGGGCTTCTTGGTGGCACAGAGGTTGAGCTGGTTGTTGGGACGGAGGTTGACCTGGTTATTGGGACAGAGGTTGGGCTGCTTGGTGGCACAGGGGTTGAGCTGGTTGTTGGGACAGAGGTTGGGCTGCTGGATTCTGGCACAGAGTTTGAGCTGGTTTCTGGCACAAAGGTTGGGCTGGTTGTTGGCACAGTGGTTTTGCTGGTTTCGGGCACATAGGTTGGGCTGGTTGTTGGCACAGAAGTTGAGCTGGTTTCTGGCACAGAGGTTGGGCTTCTCGGTGGCACAGAGGTTGGGCTGGCTGTTGGGACAGAGGTTGAGCTGGTTTCAGGCACAAGGGTTGAGCTGGTTGTTGGGACAGAGGTTGGGCTGGTTGGTGGCACAGTGGTTTTGCTGGTTTCTGGTGCAGATGTCAGGATGGTGGTTGGCACAGTGGTTTTGCTGGTTTCGGGCACATAGGTTGGGCTGGTTGTTGGGACAGAGGTTGAGCTGGTTGTTGGGAGAGAGTTTGGAGTGGTTGATGGCACAGATGTTGAGTGAGATGTCACCAGGTGGGTGGTGGTCTCGGTTAGGCTGGTGGGGCTCACACTTGGGGTGTGAGGGACTGTGACAGTTTTGTGGGTAGAGCAGTTCTCTGGGGGCTCACAGCACAAAACCCGGACCTCATAGTTGAGGCACATCCCGACATCGCCCTCCTGGTCCCGGTTCCGGCACACCAGGCCCTTGCTGAGGTTGCACTGCACCACCTGGCCCAGATTCTCGATGCTGACCTCGGGGTGGCTCTCGGCCCGGCACTCCAGCTGCGAGATGTATTCGGGCTGGCGGCAGATTTTCTCTTCCTTTTTCTTGATGTTGATGTAGGTTTCCATGTCTCCTCCATGTGGCCCCGGGGACGGGAAGTCCACGTCAAACCACTTGGTCCACGTGCATTGTGGCTGGCAGGTGACAGTCGTAGGTGAGGAGACCAAGTGTGACTCAGTTATGGTGTTGGTTGAGTGGTGCACCGGCGTTGAGATGACAATGACATGTGTGGGAGACGAGGAAATTCCAGTGGTCCGAGCAAGCTGTGTTTGGGTCTCGGTTTCCTTTGGAGTTGAGTGTGTGGTCTCAGAAGTCACAGGGTGTTTGGTGCTTCTACACGTATCCACCAGCTCACAGCACTCAATCCGGATTTCATAGTTATAGCAGATTGGGGGTGACTGGTTCTGATTCAGGCATATCAGCCCCACACTCTTGTCACAGATCACATCCTGCCCCAACTCTTCCAGTGGGATGTTTGGGAAAAACTTTGCCCTGCACTCCACATTACTGGGTTTTTCACAGAATTTATGTCCTTTGGATCTCAAATTAGGAAAAGTGTCAAAATCTCCACTGTTTATACCAGGCCCAGGGTAGCTGCTGTCGAACCACTGGGTCCATCTACACTTTTTGAAACAAGGCTCACGTGTTGTTGAAACTGGCATTGGGCTTGGAGTTAAGAGAGTAGTTTTCACCTGGGTATGTGTAGGAGTACCTGCGGTGGTCGTGGTGGTACCCGGGGCAGGTGTAGTCCCTGGGGCGGTGGTAGCGGTCCTTGGGACAGGTGTCGTACCTGGTGTGGTCGTGATGGTACCCGGGGCAGATGTAGGAGTTCCTGGGGTGGTCGTGGTGGTCCTTGGGGCAGGTGTAGTACCCAGAGTGGTTAGAGTGGTACCCGGGGCAGGTGTAGTCCCTGGGGTGGTTGTAGTGGTCCTTGGGACAGGTGTAGTCCCTGGGGCAGTGGTAGCAGTCCTTGGGGCAGATGTAGCAGTACCTGGTGTGGTCGTGGCGGTACCCGTGGCAGGTGTAGTCCCTGGGGTGGTCGTGGTGGTCCTTGGGGCAGGTGTAGTACCCAGAGTGGTCAGAGTGGTACCCGGGGAAGGTGTAGTACCTGTGGTGGTCGTGGTGGTACCCAAGGCAGGTGTAGTCCCTGGGGCGGTGGTAGCGGTCCTTGGGACAGGTGTCGTACCTGGTGTGGTCGTGATGGTACCCGGGGCAGATGTAGGAGTTCCTGGGGTGGTCGTGGTGGTCCTTGGGGCAGGTGTAGTACCCGGAGTGGTTAGAGTGGTACCCGGGGCAGGTGTAGTCCCTGGGGTGGTTGTAGTGGTCCTTGGGACAGGTGTAGTCCCTGGGGCAGTGGTAGCGGTCCTTGGGGCAGATGTAGGAGTACCTGGTGTGGTCGTGGCGGTACCCGTAGCAGGTGTAGTCCCTGGGGTGGTCGTGGTGGTCCTTGGGGCAGGTGTAGTACTCAGAGTGGTCAGAGTGGTACCCGGGGAAGGTGTAGTACCTGGGGTGGTCGTGGTGGTACCCGGGGCAGGTGTAGTCCCTGGGGCGGTGGTAGCGGTCCTTGGGACAGGTGTCGTACCTGGTGTGGTTGTGGTGGTACCCGGGGCAGATGTAGGAGTTCCTGGGGTGGTCGTGGTGGTCCTTGGGGCAGGTGTAGTACCCAGAGTGGTTAGAGTGGTACCCGGGACAGGTGTAGTCCCTGGGGTGGTTGTAGTGGTCCTTGGGACAGGTGTCGTACCTGGTATGGTCGTGGTGGTACCCGGGGCAGGTGTAGGAGTTCCTGGGGTGGTCGTGGTGGTCCTTGGGGCAGGTGTAGTACCCGGAGTGGTCGGAGTGGTACCCGGGACAGGTGTAGTCCCTGGGGTGGTTGTAGTGGTCCTTGGGACAGGTGTCGTACCTGGTATGGTCGTGGTGGTACCCGGGGCAGGTGTAGTCCCTGGGGCGGTGGTAGCGGTCCTTGGGACAGGTGTCGTACCTGGTGTGGTTGTGGTGGTACCCGGGGCAGATGTAGGAGTTCCTGGGGTGGTTGTAGTGGTCCTTGGGACAGGTGTCGTACCTGGTGTGGTTGTGGTGGTACCCGGGGCAGGTGTAGGAGTACCTGCAGTGGTTGTGGTGGTACCCGGGGCAGATGTAGGAGTTCCTGGGGTGGTCGTGGTGGTCCTTGGGGCAGGTGTAGTACCCGGAGTGGTTAGAGTGGTACCCGGGACAGGTGTAGTCCCTGGGGTGGTTGTAGTGGTCCTTCGGGCAGGTGTCGGAGTGCCTGGTGTGGTTGTGATGGTACCTGGGGCAGGTGTAGGAGTTCCCAGGGTGGTCGTGGCGGTACCCGGGGCAGGTGTAGGGGTACCTCGGGTGGTTGTAGAGGTAACTTGGACGGGTGTAGGGGTACCTGGAGCAGGTGTTCCGCTAGTTGTAGAGAGAGTGTTTGTGCCAGTTGAAGTGACAGTGGCTGGGGAAGTTCTGCTCTCCGTTGGCACAGATGGGGTCCTGCTAACCCTCTGTGTGGGCCCAGTGTCTGTCCTCCTGGAAGCTGCAGGAGAGGTGGTCCAGGCCAGGCTGCCGGAGCGGGGGCAGGTCGAGGGGGAGCAGCACAGAGCCCTAATCTGGTAGTTGTGGCAGAGCCCTGACGTCTGGTTGCGGTTGTAACAGGTCAGGCCTACCGTGGGGCTGCACTCCACATGCTGCCCCAGGGCCTGGAGCTGCACTCCAGGGGCCCCCTCAACTTGGCACTCCACCCTCTTCGGTGCTGTGCAGACCTGGTGCCCATGGGCACGGAGGTTCTCCAGTGTGTCGAAGTCACCGCTGTCGATGCCCCGCCCCGGGTGGCTGACATCCAGCCACGGCGACCACTGGCACTCCTCCCCACAGGTCTGGCGGGGCTGGACAACCGGACTAGATGTTATGCCTGTGTGCACCGTGCTCTTGGCACGCGTGGGGGACGTGCGGGGCGGGCGTGTTGAGCTCACAACTGAGGACAGGAAAGAAGGCGGAAGGGCTAAGTCTCCTGGGGTCTTTGAGGCATCCCCTCCTCCCCTGTCCCTGCCCCCCTCCATCAGCAGCCTGGTGGGTTTCACCATGTCAAGCTGGTGTGACTGTCTCCACCTACAATGGGCGCTTGGGGAGAGCAAGCACCAAGTCCCCGGGACACACCGGGCTCAGGCAGGTGTGGAGCCCACAGCAGTTGAAAGAACAGGTGAACTGATCTCATTTAGGGGGAAGCCTGCTCCCCAGGCACGCCCTGAGCAGAACTTGCACTCTGAGGGAAGCCCTGACAAGGCTCTAAGATGCCCCCAGCGGAGGGAGAGGAGTCGGGCTGCCTGCCCCTCAGTGCAATGTAAGGTGAGCAGGTAGCCGTGGCCGGGCAAGAACTTCCCAGGGTGCTCCCGGTGGCCCTCGTCCCAGAGGCCGGCCTCGGGTACCTTTGCCCATGGCCTCTGCCCTGTGCTGGGAGCCCCAGCCCTGATGGTGCCACTGAGGACACTAGTCTCTGCCAGGGAGACGGGCTGAGCTGGGCCTTCCCAGCCGCAAGGAAGGCAGGCTGCCCAGCTCCGGGCCCCTCCTGGACTTTCAGGGAGAGGCGCCCAGCGTGTCTGCCTTACCGAGCGGGGACGTGGAGAAGGAGAAGGTGGTTGGCGGTGTGGGGGTCATGGAGCTGCAGGCGTAGACGCGCCTCTCGATGGCGCCGCTTGCGGAGCAGCGGGCAGAGATGCACCCGCCTGTGCCGTCTGTCGTGTGGTAGATGACATCCCCCGGGCGGAAGCGCCGTCCGTCGTAGATGCAGACACAGGCTGTGAGGAGACGGTCGGGCACGTTAGGGCTGTGGGCAGGCAGGGACCCCGAGTCCCCAGACCCCAGGAAGGCCCCCTGCTGCTCACCCTCCAAGTCGTAGGCACACTGCACGCCGCTCTCGGAGCAAACGCTGGTGGCAGGAAGGAGGAAGTGAGTCTGGGGGTGTAGGGCACCCCGCCGTGCCAGAGCCGCCCCTCAGCCTGGCCGGTGGACACGGAGCCTCGGGGAGCCCCTTCCAATCGCCGAGCGATGGAGGCAGGCATCTAGCAGGCCACGCACCCTGGTGACATTCTGATGGATATTTCCTCTCCGGGGCAACACTTCCAGGGGGTCCTCGGGGTGGCATCATGACTCGGCTCCTGCTTGACCCCCTTCCCTGCCATCCCTCAGGCTGCCCACCCCCATTCTGCAACAGGGAGGCTCCCAGCTGGACCCCAGGACCCCCAGGCTGTGGCAGCCCCCCACCAGTCTGAAGGAGGTGGCCGGCCGAATCTCGCGCACACTCCAGGCTCCTCGCCCCTCTGGCCACACGACTCACCAGGAGTGGCAGTTCTTGTTGGAGGGCACCGCTGTGCCTGGCCGGTATGACTTGCCCTGGACGCGGCAGGGCAGCGGCGGGGGTGGGGTTGGGCACATGGCCACACACTGCATCTGGTCCTCGTCGAAGATGGGGGCCCCGGGCGGGCACTTGGGGTAGCAGCCTGCAGGCCAGAGAAGCCTGAGTCCCAGCCAGACCCCCTGCCTGACCACCTCCCCCCTCCCGGGGCCTTGGCTCAGCCCTGGCCCCAGTTCTCACCCACAGCACGGCGGACGCGTGGGGCTGCGCTCACGAAGGCGCCTCAAGGGGTTGGGAAGAGTCCAGCCCAGCCGAGGGTGCCAGGGCCCCCAGGGCAGCCCCCTCTGGCCAGCGTGGTGGCAGCCTACCTTCCAGGCCCGGCAGGTCGTGCAGACAGCGGCCGCTCGGGTTCCGGCAGGTCCTCATGCAGGGCGCCCCGCATGGCTGGTAGTGCCATTCACACTGGCCCTCGGGGTTGTAGTAGTCGCAGAACAGGGCTGTGGGCAAGCGGGCGGCTCAGTGGGCCAGCTCCGGCCCGGAGTGAGCCACCCTGCGGCCCCAGCGGGGTGCTGCCCTTGCAAGGTGGCCTTGGGGGCCCCACACGGGCCGGGCAAGCTCCCCTGCCCCCAGCCTTCCACCAAGTCTCGTGGGCTGCTCTCACGCCATTCCCTCCCTGCGCCTTCCGGATGGGGCCTTGGAGCAGATGGGCCTCGGATGCCCGTGGTCAGATGCAGCCGTGGGTCCCCTGGCTTCTTGGGGGTGCCACCCATTGGGGTGGGGGACTCCGGCCAGAGCGGCCCCACAGCGATGCTCCCCACTGGCCAGGTGCCAACCGGGTGGGAGGTGGGGGCTCTGCTAACCCCTCTCGGCTCCAGAACACTCTGCCATCTCTCCACCGGCGACACCCACCCCCCATTCCCACGTTTCACTTCCCTTTCCAACGCCTCCGGCCCAACCCGTAGCCGACCAGCCTTAACCACACACTACTCTGTCAGTCCCTGCGGCCCCCTCCACCCTGACGACGCAGCATGTGCACTCACGGCAGATGGCCGGGGTCCGCCAGGACACACACACGCCCACGTCGTGGCAGGCCTGGGCGTAGGCAGCCACCGCCGTGCAGAAACACTCACAATCGCCCCCCGAGTCACAGGCGCACGCGTCGCCCACGCAGGCCTCGTAGTACCTGGCGGGGTCGACCTGGGGGGAGGGGAAGAGCCTTCGGATTCGGGGTCTGGGGCTCCTGGGGGTCAGGCCTGCGGTGTGGCCCGACCTGGGCCGGTCTCCCCCAGAGCGAGGGACAGCGGACGCGTGGGCCCCCGGGGCTGACCACAGGCTGGCCTAAAGGGTGGACGGTGACGTGGGCCCCCCGACTTCTGCCCGCCCCTTCCTTCCCGGGCGCCCCGGGGAACGGCCGCATACGTGGGCGTGGCAGGCGGCGAAGGTGGCGCTGTTGATGATGCTGCACTGCTTCTGGGCCCAGGACTTGCGATACGGGTTGGCGGTGCAGGGGTCCCTGGGGGCCGGGGCGTCGGGGCAGGATGGGGAGAACTTCCAGCTGTTGCCGAACTCCAGGGCGCTGCTCACCACGGACTGGCTCCGCGTGGTGAAGTCATTGATGGCGTTGTCGTCAAAGTTCCCACACAGCCCACAGACCCGGCCCTGCAGACGGGGGACGGCGGCACGGGGGGCTCAGGGCGTGTGTAGGAGGGGCCAGAGCCCAGCCCAGCCTCCTGTGACCCCACACGCTCCCCTGGGGCCCCACATCCCCACGGCCCCCAGGAGGAGGGGGGCCCCAGGTGTGCAGGTGGCTCTCCGCCTTCACCGTGTGTGGGGCCCCACTCAGCACACAGGGTCACGGTGGCGTCCCTCCTGCAGGAAAGGGGGTGCAGGAGAGGAGCACTGGGGGCCACGTGGTGTCCCCTGCAGACCAGCTCAGGTCCTGACCCGGGACCCGTGAGCGTGGCCTCATGTGGAAATAGGGCCACTGCAGACGGGGATCCCGCTGAGGTGAGGACGCCCTGGGTGGGCATGGGCTGTGGCCATGGGGACGTGTGGGCACAGACACGAGTGAAGACAGTAACATGAGGATGCAGGCAGAGGCAGGAGCGTCCCTGGGGCCCCAGACGCTGGAGGGGGCAGGAGGGATCCTCCCCCAGAGCCCCCAGAGTGAGCGGGCCTGGGGATAGTTGCACGGGACTTCGAGTGTCCAGAACCACGAGAAGGAGCCACGCGTTTGTGACAGCGTCCCAGCAGTTGCAAGACACAGCACGCACAGCAAAGGGCCTCCCTCCTGCCGCCTCCCTCGAGGCACGCCATCTGGTCCGGGGTGAGGGCGGGCCGTCCCGGGGAGGGGGGCCCACCTTGAACTCAGGGCTGAGTTTGAGGAAGATGCTGGTCTTCCTGTCCCACAGAAGCACCAGGCCAGCCTCGGTGTCCACCACCAGGTAGATGCCCATCTGGCGAATGGAGTAGGGGGCCTCCTGCCCCGCCCCCTTCTCTGTCACCTCCACACCGCCATCACTCAGCCTCAGCTCGTAGCTCTGCGCAGAAGGGGTCACTCAGGCCTGTCCCCGCTCGCTTTCCCAGGCGTCCCTCCAAGGTGGTCCCCGTCCCTTCCCACCACCCCCCACTCACCCCCAGGAACAGCCTGATGGCCTTGGAGCAGGTGACGCCCGTGGTCCCGCAGGGGACGTTCTCGGTGACCACGCGGAAGGTGCGGTTGGTGGTGCTGTTGCCCCCACAGTGGTCCTGTGGCCAGGCAGAGGGTGTTCCTGCAGCTGGGAGGCTGGGGTGCCCAGAGCTGCACTGCAGGACCGCATGGGACAGCCGGGGAGCCCCCGGGACCACGTACCTGGACCAGCGTGTACCCACAGTCCCCACTGAAGCTGTAGCTCTTTCCGTCGAAGGTGAGGTGGTGGCCGTCCCCGTACACTGCACAGGTGGCCAGGCAGGCGTCCTCTGTGCACTGCCACATCCTGTTCTTACAGGTGCTGGGGGCAGGGGGCACCGGTCAGGCCCAAGCTGGGCATGGGCAGTGGGGGTGGGGATGGGCCCTGCGGGGACCATGGGCAGACCTCGAGGGCTGGGGCCGCACCACCCACTGCAGGGAGCCCCCTCCCCACTGCGTACCGGGTGTTGCGGCCCCCCCCGGAGACCTCGAGGGCTGGGGCCGCACCACCCACTGCAGGGAGCCCCCTCCCCGCCGCGTACCAGGTGTTGCAGCCCACCCGGATGGTCTGGCCGGGCGGGTAGCTGGCCCCGTTGTGCACACAGGGGCAATCGGCTGCAGGGAGGCAGTGGCCCTCACCATCAGCCACCAGCCCGTCGGGACACACGCAGCCAGGCTCGCACTGGGAGCTGTACTGTGGGGAGCAGGAGACACGGCTCAGCCGGCCGGGGGTCAACAGCCGAGGGCCCCCCCACGGCCCACAGTGAGCCCAGGGAGCCCTCAGGCAGCCGTCTTCCCGGGAGCAGCCCTAGAGGGCCCCTCGGCAGGAGCCCACGGGGGTCACTGGGGGTGGGGGCTCTCACACAGTCCATGTCCAGGGTGAAGCAGCTCTTCTGACAGCCGGCCCCGGCAGCCCCCGGCGTGGCGTTGCGACAGTCGACGTAGACCATGGGTGCGGTGCAGACTGGGGAGGTAGGGGCCGTTCAGGGTCCCCACCCGCCACCCGCCAGGCTGGCTCTGAGAGACACGGCTGCACACGGTGTGTCCCAGCGGCCGAGTCTGTGCCGCCCGCCCTGAGGCTCGGCCAGCAGGGTGCGTGTGTGCGTAGCGCGTGTGTGTGAGCGTGTGAGTGTCCACAGGGCGCGTGTGCGGGGCGTGCTCACACACGCCACCACCCCCTCACTGAGCAGGCCCGACAGAGAAACCCCTCCACACCCACCAGTCACACTGACTGGGGGGCGGCCACCCGAAAGCTTGGCGACAACGAGAGCCCCTCCCTCACTGTGGACTCACCGGGGGTGGGAGCCTGGCCTCCGACGCAGGTCAGCGTGCCTTGTGTGCAGGTGCTGGGACGAGAGGGTGGTCAGAGGGTCGCCCATCCCGGCCGCCCTGCCCACCAAGCCCAGCCGGCAGGGCTCCTACCAGATGACCCCACGCTCATGCAGCGACTCCCCGTTGGGCACCACGGAGCCCCCGTGGTAGCAGGGACAGCTGGTGGCTGGCACACATTTGCCCGCATCATCCATGAAGGTGCCCTGGGGACAGGTGCAGCCGTCCACGGGGACAAAGCTGATGCCGCAGGTGACGTCCTCGTGACTCCGGGCCCGGCAGGTGGGCTGGCAGGTGCTGATGTGATAGCGGTAGGTCAGCGACTTTGGGCAGCTGGTCATGGGCTTCGCTGCGGGATGCCAGGTGGGGGGAGGCAGTCAGGACGGCAACCATCGCCCGCACCCACCCCCGCCTCCCCTGCCCCAGCCGCAGGGTCCCAGGCCCGGCTGGCCGGGGCGCTCCAGGGCTCCGAGCCCGCACGGGGCCGAGGCCCCAGAGCACATGTCCGGGGGACACTCACTGCACATGCCGTCCCTCCAGCCGCTGAGCAGCACCCCCTTGGCAGTGCAGGCGTGCACGTAGGAGGACAGGGCCGCGCACAGGCAGTCCTCGCTCTTCTCACAGTTACACGTGTCGAACATGCAGTTCTGGGGACGGGGCCGTCGTCACCCACACGCCATGAGCATCCCCCACGCTGCCGCCCCTGCCTCCTCTAGGACCCCTCCTCGCGCCCGCACCAGGGGCCCCCACGCCCTCCGCACACCATCTTGGCACCAAGCTCCCCTCCAGGTGAGTGCTGGAAGGACCACAGCCCCTCCTGTCTGGGACCTGACAGGTGCCAGCCCGTGTGGTCAGGCTTAGACCCCAGAGCGTCTCGGCCACCACCGATCTGCCACGTGGACTCCAGGGCCCAGCCAGCCACAACCCCCAGGGCTTGTCGGCCCCAGTGCCTGGTTACAGGGCTGGAGGCACCGATGAACTCCAGACCGCGGACCACGTCGGACCCTCACGGAGCCCCTCTCCCCGCACCGAGGGCAGCCGTGTGGCCGGGGGGGAGAGGTGGGTGGGTGGGCGTTACCGAGTAGTAGGTGCCAGGGTTCACGGCAGCATGGCACCGGGCGAAGGGGCCGTGGGCGTCCATCAGCCGGGAGCACCAGTGCTGGGCATACTTCTCTGTGGACAGAGGTCAGCAGGCTGGACGGTTGGCGTCCAGTGGAAGCTACACAGACGTGTGCAACCTCCCGTAGGGAAGGGCGCCAGGAGCACACAGGGTCCCAGGCTCCCTCCCGGGCGCCCCTGCTACGGTGGGCGGGCGGGCACGCTCAGGGCGCGCCTCCACCACCCCCACAACACCCTGTTCCTCTTCTTCCAGAAGTTACCACAGCTTTACCAGAAGTGATGGGAAATTCGTTGGCGAGTTTGCCTGTTTACCTCCTGAATCCCTCCTCCAGGGCCAGAGTGGATTCTGTGGCCCGGGGTCACTGGCACCCAGGTGGGCCCTGGGACTTCGGGGACCCACGTACCGTTCTCCACGCTGAGGGAGCAGGGGTCCTCGAAGCTGTTCTTGACGTTGGGGCAGGCGGCCTGGGTCTTCCAGGTGTTGGCGAAGGCGGCAGCCGTGCCCTCCACCACGCCGCTGAGGGTCCGGAAGTCATCGGCCTGGTTCTGGTTGAAGTTCCCGCACAGGCCTGGGCGGGAGGGCAAGCATGAGGCCCCGTGAGCCCTGGCCGCTGAGGGTGGGCCCGGGCTCCCAGGGCAGGCGGCGCCTCTTACCACAGGTCAGCCCGCGGAGCTCGGGCCCCAGCCTCACGAACACCTGCATGATAGGCACCAGCTGGATACTCAACTGCAGGCCCAGGTTGGTCTGGGCGATGATGAAGAAGGTTGAGGGTCTGAAGAGCGTGACATTGGCTGTGGACACAGGGGACAAGGCCTCAGTGGGCTGTGAGGGGCGGGACCCTCGGGGGGCAGGCCCGACACTCTCACCTGCTGAGATGGGCATCTGGGTGTAGATCTGGTTCACAAACACCTCCCCGCCGGCCTTGACCGTGATGACCTGGGAGGAGCAGGGAGCGGGGTCAGGGCTCAGCCAGCGCCCCCGGTGGCCCCAGAGGCTGTGACATGTGCCTGCAGGACCCCTTCCCCCAGGGGGCCACAGGCTCCCTTGAGGAGGGGCTGACGAGCTGAGTTCTGCCCTGGGCTCAGTTTGTTTGTCTACGTTTCCCTCAAGGACCGAGCATTCTCTCAGGTAAAAACCCAAGTGATTTTATGAAAAACTAAAAATAAAGAACAAAAATAAATAAAAAATAAAATAGAGACAAGGTGTCTTCAATGAAGCTGAGCTACCGGGGGTGCCCTGGTCCCTCCTTTCAGGGCTGGTGGGGGCAGGCGTGGAGGCCATGGTGCCCCTCCCCCAAGCGGTTCCATCTAGGGACCAACACTCAGAGACCCGTGGGGTGGGAGGGTCCTCAGGCTGAGCCCCGGCCCCTCGCTGCCCACGCCAGGTCAAGGGCTTGGGCAGAGGTCACTTGCATGAGGGACACAGACTCCCCCAACCCCCGGGTCTGCTCTCACCGTGCGCCCCCCGGCCCCCATGTCTGCTCTCACCGTGTGCCCCCCGCCCAGGCTCAGCGTCAGGCTCCTCAGGCAGGTCTCGGTGTCCGTCCGGCCGCACCCACGCATCTCGGCCAGCACAGTGAACGCACTGCTCTTACAGGGCTGCAGACACAGGTCCTCACGCTTGGCCCAGAGGCGCCAGCCCCCCGCCCCGCCTCCCCGCCCACCCTGGAAATCCTTTGGGGTGGCGCCAGGAGCGGGGGGCCACAGATGCCGCAGCTGTCTGCAGCCCGGGCGGGGCGGCCGCGGCTGAAAGCGCTGTGTTGGAGCAAGGACCTGGGGCCCGCACCTTGGCCAGCACGTAGCTGCAGTCCCCGTGCACTGTGTACTCTCTCTCGTCGAACGTGGAGACGTGGGGGCCCCCCAGCACCGAGCAGGTGCCCGGGCACGGCAGCTCCCGGCATCTCCACTGGCCCCCGGAGCAGGTGCTGAGTACGGGCAGAGACCATGCGTGTGCAGCCCCTGGGAGCGTCCAGCCCAGCCTCCACACTGGCAGGTGGACACGGGTCTGGCCCAGACCCGCCTGCACCACTGCACAGACCGGGCCCCCCGGTGTCTGCATGACGAGCCCCTGGCCCGTGCCCGGGGCCCCAGGTGAGAGATGACAGCCGGCACTTGGGCCACAGCCTCCCGGGGGCCATCCCAGGACACGTCCAGGGGTACGGGAGGGCGGGGGCCTGGGGTCCTACCAGTTGGTGCAGTCTGTGGTGTAGCTCGCTCCTGGAGCGTAGACGGCCCCGTTGTACACACAGGAGCACTGGGTTGCAGGGATGCAGCCGGCCTGGCCGAGGTCATCGAGCACCATCCCTGCAGAAGCGGGCAGGCCGTACGGCAGGTGCCAGGCTGAGTCCGCCCCCTGAGCAGGGGGAGGGGACCCGCCCTCTGCCCACGGTCGCTCTGCCCTTCAGGGGCTCCTCAGACCCAGGGGCCCCGAAGGCATCTGTGTGATTCTCGGGGGGCTCCTCTCACCCTCGGGGCAGAAGCAGCCAGCCACACAGTGGTCCTCGCAGAGCTGGGAGTGCTCCAGGTTGGAGCAGGTGTCCGCGCAGGGCGAGCTGCACTCGTGATACTCCATGTTGAGGGGGCAGGTCTGGGCTGCAGCGGGGAGGACGCAGCCGAGTCACATCCCGCACCCACCTCCGGGCCAAAGCAGGGCAACACGACGGGGGCACTCACGGCAGAGGTGGGGGCCCCTCCAGTCCAGGGGCTGCCCCCCGGCGTGGGCACACTGGCGGGAGTACTCGGCGAGCGTGTGGCAGATGCAGCTGGTGTGGGTAGCGTGCTCACAGAGGCAGAGGTCCTGCCGGCAGGCCTGCACGTAGCGGCGGGGGTCCACCAGAGCGCGGCAGCCCGAGAACAGCCAGCCGCTCAGGATCTCCTCGCAGACACCCTGGGCGCGGAGCCAGGAGGCCAGGCTGAGTGCAGGCTCCGGACCCTCCCCTGGAGTCCCGGCCCCCACCCCGCCTCGGCCCCGCAGGCGCAGGACCCACCCCCGGCGCCCATTCACGTCAGGGCTTACAGGGCCAGGTGAGCAGTCCCTCAGGGGTACAAGGACAGGGTCCTGACACTGCTCCGTGGGGCCGTCCATCTTCTGCAGATTCCCAAACTCGATGGGGGTCAGCTTGACACCTGCAGGAAGCACAACGCCAGGCTTTTTAGGTTCCCGGTGCCTCTGCACCTTCCCCCAAGGTGCCCGAGGGGTCCCCGCTGCACCTCCTCCCCCATCCACGCTGCTGGGTTAAAGGATGTTCGGGGAGTCTGAGGATTAAGTGAGGAACCACCCAAGTCATTCGGGGTTGCAGGCAGAGGGCTTAGGCCTGTCAGCACGCAGCCCAGAGGGCTGGAGAGTGACCCTGACCTACCCCGGCCCTCGGAGCCCAGCCAAGCCTGTACGGGGCCCCCAGATGCTTGGGCAGGTGCGTTCCCCTGGGCTGCAAGCCCCTTATGGGTGAGCTTCCTGTGGGCTTCACAGGCCTGGCAAGGGGGATCTGGGGGTGGGGGCCTCTGGCTGGTGTGGGTCACACGAAATACCACTTCCCGGCAGCAGGAGGCCCAAGAAACGGTGAGAGGGTCCGCTCGGAGACGGTGCAGAGGGCGCGGGAGGCCCGTGTGCGTGTGAGCTGGTGCGTGTGAGCACGTGTGGGCGCGTGCGTGCGGCTCTGAGTGTGCGTGCACACGGGCACACAAGCTGAGGACATTCTGGAAGACAGCCTTCCAGGCAGCGCTGAGGAAGGGGCCCGGCTACCGTGGGGCAGCCGCGGGGAGGGGGCTTACCATGGGAGAAGAACTCATTGAACACCGGCTGGCCGCTGAAGTCTCCGCAGAGCCCACAGGTCTGGTTGGCGTACTTGGGGTCCAGCTCCAGCTGGAATGAGAATGCATGTCAGACGCCTGGCCCCACAGGGACGTCTCAGGACAGGGAGGACAGAGGAGGTGTGGGACATTCCCAAGGAGGGGCTGGGGGCTCCTCACAGAAGTGTCGTGGGCTGTGGACCCCTGCCCCCCACGCCAGCAGGGTCTTCATCGGGGGGGGACTAGGTCCCCCGGGCCCCGCCTCACCGGCCCTGTGCAGTGGGGTCTGGCCATCCCACCCACCCTTGCCCAGACCACTTTCTTCCTTCTCTGGGGAGGCTGTTGGGCTGGCGGTGCCCCCCTCCCCGGCCCGGGCCCCGGCCTCACCAGGAGGCTATCATCTTGGCTCCACATGAAGACCAGGCCCAGCTTGGCCACCACCTTCAGGTAGCTGCCGCTGAACTCGATGAGGACCCCGGACTGGCTGAAGGGCAGCTGAGTTCTGCGGAGAGAGGGCCAGGCTGAGGCTCCGAGGGCACTCAGGGACAGGGCAATGGAGGTCTGGCCCTTGGCCAGGGAGGGCCCCTACGGGCACGTTTGTGACGAGATCCCTGTGCCCACGGACAGTGCCCCAGGCGCGAGAAGGACGGGGGACCCCGGAGCTCCGGTGGCACAGAGGAACTAGGAAGGGGGCTACTTCCGCAGGCAGGAAAAGAGCCCTGGGCCTCTGGGGGCGTGTGCAGGCACCCAGCACAGAGACCTGGGGAGTGCCCGGGGGGACCGGTGCTCGGGGACGACCCCACGTCCCCCCACTACCACCCAGACTCACGGGCGGCCGTTGACCAGGATGGAGCTCTTGGTCAGCTGGATGACCACGCCATCGAGCTTCATGGTGACTCCGATGACCGTGGTGGCGTTGGACGCCCGGCCGCGGCGCAGCTGGATGTTGAAGTCCTCGTAGGCAGCTCCGCAGTGCGCTGAGAAGACGTAGTTGCACAAGCCCGGGAAGCGGAAGACGTCGCCGTCGAAGGTCTTGTAGTGGAAGTCGCCCCAGGCGCTGCACACGCGCCCGTTGTGCGCGGGGTTCCGGGCTGTGGGCCAAGGCGGGCCTGAGGGTGCTGCCCTGCGCCCCGAGCCTGGGACGCGGCTGCCCGGGGCCCGGGCGGCTGGGGAGGAGCTGCCTGGACCCAGGCCGTCCTGGGAACACAGACCCCCTCCAGGACTTACTCCGCGTCCACCTGGGCAGAGGGACCCCTTCCAGCCGCCCCCTTGCCCAGCCTCACAGACCCTCTCTCACCTCGCACCACCGGGGCTGTCCTCAGAGGGGGCAGGACGGTCATCACACGGAGTGGGTGGCCTGCGGGAATGCGGCACCGTGTCAGGCTGCCCACAAGCACGGCTGTGGCCGGAGTCGGGCGTCTCTGCTGCCCTCGCCAAGCCTGCCGGCACCACTCCCTCTGGGCCGCCCCGAGGGGCTGTGAGCTGTCTGGCCCGGGACTCTGCCCAGAACTCGTCCCTGGTGCCCAGAGTCTCAGAAATGCCCGAGTCAGCACCAGGTGCCCAGGACGACCCCTTGGGCGCTGAGGCCAGGCACGGACGAGCCTCCCTCTGAGCCCAGTTTGGGGGAATGACTCTCTCCCAGGGCAGCACGCCCAGCATGGCGGCACAGGAATCCCCAGAGAGGCCACCCGCCAGCCCCCCGCCCCAGGCCAAGGGGACGCATATGTGGCTAAGGGATCAGGACTTATGCGGAGACAGGAGGACGTCGCTGTGAGCTCGGGCCTCTAGCCTGTCCTCCTGTCTGAAGCCGCCACGGGGACACAAGCAGCCTTCGGGGGCCCCCAGGTGACCGACCGGGGCTGTGTGTGGGGGTGTCCTCCAGCCCCCCAAGTTCTGGCCCCGAGGGAGTGGGGCAGGGCAGCCCTGACAGGTGGGGGTCGACTCACCACCAAGCTCCTGGGGGACGGGAAGGTCTGGGGACTTGTGGCCATGTTCCACAGAGCCATCCTGAGCCTGGCCTATGGGAAGAAGAGAGGACACTGGGCCTGAGCCAGGCGGGCAGGGCACAGAGAGAGGGACGAGCAGACGGAAGGGCCCAGAACAGGTGGGGGTTCTCTCTGCGCAGGGCTGGGGTTGCGGGGAGGGTCTCTGCCCATGCTGCCCACGTCAGGCCCATGAGCTTCTATAGGCATTCCTTCAGCTTGGCCCCACGAGCACTTGGGGGTCCCCAGGCCCTGACGTGGCATTCATTCATTCACTATTCCTTCATTCACACTGAGTATCTCCCTGCTTGGGACATAAAGAGCACACTGCATGGCAGCCTGTGGAGGGACCAGACGGTAAAAGCTATGGGTCGGCTGAGTGTGCCAGGAGACAACCAGGGCCCTGGGGGAGAATTTGGGATAGACTGGGGGATGCGGAGCCGAGTGGGGTGAGGCTGCCCGGCCCAGGCCCTGACCCTGCAGGGACAGTCTATGCTCATCCCTGACGCAGATGCCCCGGGAGGGCCCAGCAAGGGCTGGCCCTGTGCGCGCAGTGGCAGGAGGCCGGGGACTGCAGGGTGCGGGCGCGCGGGGTGCCATGTTGTGGTGCCCATGGTGCTGAGGGCCTCGGGAACGTTGCCCCCTTGCCCCGGGCAGCTCCTCTGGGAGCACCCTGTCACCCAGCACCTGCCCAGGACCCAGCTATCCCCTGGGACGCAGAGGCCACAAGGTGCAGACCTGGGTGGGAGGGGGCCTCAGAGGGTCCAAGAGCCTCTCCCCAGCATCCTCACGGTGTGGACCTCACGATCACACCCGCCCCCCATGGCTGAGGCCCCCTGGAAACCCCTCTCAAGGCCCAGATGTGGAAAACGAGCTGGTGGACTGGGCCGTGTGGTGAGGGGGTTCCCAGGGACAGGTGGGCAGCTCTGCCAGGCTGCAGGGCCCCAAGGACCTGCTCAGAGCAGGGGGCAGAGGCAGCAAGCAGCAGGAAATCACACATGGATGGACAGGAAGACAGACGAGGGGCTCGGAGACGCTGGGTTCCTGCTTCCCCACCTCAGGGGCCCCTGCCCCCACGTGGACCCCCGCGGCCCCTGAGAGCTCCCCAACCCCACAAGCTGGCAACTGCAAGACAGCGAGGGCCAGAGCCCAGGGCCAAGGGGCCGGGAGCCACTCTCAGCTTCCCTGGGGCCCAGGGTAAGACCTCGGAGTTGCCTGCTGCCCTCCCGGGCCCAGAGCCGCCCCCGGATGTAGGGGAACCACGGGGATGCCAGGTCAGGGCCACCCCGGGAAAGCCGCTCAGTGGGAGCCTTACCTGTGTGCTGGGCACAGGCCAGGGTGAGGGCCAGGGCCCAGAGTGGGGCCAGCTTCCTCCAGCCGACACCCATCCTACAGAGGGAGGGGAGAAGTCCCCAGGGGCAGCGTCTGAAGAAGGACCTGAGTGGGCAGGAGCCTTTTGTAGCCCCAGAGCTGGCTCCGGCCCAGTAGCTTCACGTGGGTGGGCGGGACAGGGCCTGCCATTCCCCTCACTCAGGCAAACAGTGGGCACTCACTCTCGGCTGGCCAGCAGCCGGAGCCAGGCAGAGATGGGCGTAGCTGCCAGGTGGGGCCTGGTTTCCTGAGGGTTCTCCAGTCCTGGCCTGCAGGGATCCTCCTGCCATGCCCCTCACCCCTGCAGCTTCCTTAGGCATGCTTCTGTGAAGCCGGACCCCACAGACTTCCTGGGGCTGCTGGGGCTGCCAGGGCCTCACCCTCTCCGAAGAGGGGCTCAGGGGGCAGCACCCTCAGCGACAGGACCCTGCCCCACAGTGCAGCCCCCGGCTTGGCACCGCCTCGGACCTTGACTGGGCTTCTGGCTCCTGGCTCTAGGCATGCAGTGGGCAGCCCCAGGCCAGCTTGAGTCACACGTGGCCTCATGGTCACGAGGGGTGGAAGTGGCCGGACCCACTGGGCCGGGGAGCTGCCGAGGGGCTTACCCCAGAAATCGTCCCAGCAGGTGGACTGAGATGGCCCGGCCCCAGACCGTGGGTGTATGGGCGTCGGGTCCTTTTGGGGTGCTGTGTACCGGGGCTGAGCTCTCCCCGACAAGGCAACCACACGCCCCACAGACCAGCAGTACCACTGACGATGAGAAGTTCCCACTGGGGATGGTGGTGGCAAAGGCAGTGGGAGTGGCTGGGCTGGGCCCCTCTGAGCATCTCTTTCCTATTCAGGGGGGCCCATCCCAAGGGCCTTATACTTGCCTGGTTTTAGGTCTCTGAGTCGTCCTCTCCCCAGGCCCTGACTTGGCCCTGGTGCCTGTGAGAGAGAGGGCACCGCGTGCAGTGGCGGATTGTGGGGGATCATGGGGAATCATGTGGGATCATGTGAGATCATGGGGGATCATGGGGGATCGTGGGGGATTGTGTGGAATCGTGGGGGATCATGGGAGATCATGTGGAATCGTGGGGGATTGCAGGAGATAGTGGGGGATCGTGGGAGATCATGGGAGATCGTGGGGGATCATGGGGGATCGTGGGGGGACTGTGGGAGATCGTGGGGGATAGTGTGGGATCATGTAGGATCGTGGGGGATAGTGTGGGATCGTGGGGGAGCAGCAGCAGAAGGCTGACGGGGTGAGTGAGTGCGGCCCCCAGCTGGCTGGTGCTTCGGCCCTTCTGACCCCCACCAGGCTCCCCTGCTCGGCCTTGGAGCTGGATACCAGGTCACCTGCGGCTGAGCAGGGCAGCGGGGTCCCCAGGGACAGGCAGGGTGGACGGATCTGGCCCAAAGCGCTGTGAGGCTTTGGACAGGAGAGTGAACAGTGGTAACCGGGGCCGTGGGCGCCTGCTCATGTCTCAGCTTTTGGGGCTCTTGGGGGACCCCTGGGGAGGGCACTGGAGTCGGGGCAGGTGTGGGACTGGCCACCTAGCCTCAAACATCGGGGTCCTTCTTCTCTGTGACCTTGTGCCCCTGGGGTGGGCTGAGGGTAAGCATGTGGCCTTCTGAGCGTCCAGTGCTTGGCCAGCCCACCCCCAACATCGTCTACTTGGTGGCCATGCACAGAGCCAAGGTCAAGACTATGGAGGGGGCTGTGAAAGGATGAGGGGCTGGGGGTCCCCTGGAGCAGCTCGGCAGTGACTGCACCCTCCTGCCCCTTCTCAGGGGGCTTCATGCTCAGGGAGGGGTGGTGCGGGGGCGGGGCGAGGCTGGGGCTAGTCGTGGCCTCCCCGAGCCTCCATTCCCTCATCTGAGGACAGGGTGCATGGGAATCTTGGCAGGCAGTGGGTCACACGAGGAGAGTGCCGTGTACAGGGAACAGGGGGCATACGTGGTGACGGGCCTAGCCCGGGGCATTGGCCCCAGAAGCCTTTGCTCCCTGGGTTCCCCACTGCCAGCCCCCCACCCGCAGGTTTGATAAAGTGATGGGCTTGCTGGAGTCTGGTGAAGCCAGGCGGGGTCCGGCACTCACAGGGTCTAGCCGGCCTTGGCCGCGTCCCAGAGTGGGGCTCTAGCTGTCTCTGCTATCGCTGGGCCACTCAGGATTTGGGACAGGAAGTGGCCATCAGATGGCCCTCTTTGTCACGGGTGGCTGGACCGAGACTGACCCAGGTGAGGACGAAGCCCACCAGCCGGGATCGGGCCTGAGCAGGGCCCCAGGGGGAGCAAAGGCCCCGCAGGTGGGTGCGAGCCAGTGCCCCCATCCTGGGGCGAGGGTGAAGATGGGGGGCAGTGTGCTCCCTGCAGCTCAGATGCATGAGGTGATGGAGAGGCAGCCCCCAGCTCCTCGCCTGGGACAGAGCCCCCCCTCCTACTCCTCTGACGCCCATCACTATAGGAAGAGCCACAGTCCTGGGACTCCCGGCCCCCAGCCCTGGCCTGACCCTGACCCTGACCCAGCCCAGCCCAGCCGTTCCTGGGCAAGGTGACCAGGGTGGGGGACACTGGTTTCCACACCGCTGGCCCTCTGTCGGGGTTCCTACCCTGGACACAGCCAAGGCCCCGAAGCAGGTGACCCACGGACCTGCTGGGGTCACTCAGTGCTGGCCAGCGGGACCTGGGGGGCTGCCCCCAACTGCCCTGCTCCTCCATGAGGCTGCAGGCGGGGTCTCTGTCCAGGGGAGGCCAGGCTGGGCTAAGGCGGGAAAGGAGGCAGTTTCACGGCTCTTCTCAAGTGGGGCTCCATGGGGCTGTGTTCTCCCTCCAGGATGAGGAGGTCAGCAAGGACTGTCCTCCCTTCCTGGTGCCCTCCAGGGGCTGCAGTGGGGACACACCCCAATTCCACTCTCCCAACGGGGGGGCACTCCCACCCAGCAGTCAGCACCTGCACCCCACACGCCAGGCCCCTGCACCCCCTCCCCCAGGGAGAGGCCCCTCCCGGTGGCCCTGAGTACCCGGCCAGCCACTCCAAGGCACCGACGGCCAGAGCCGGCCGAGCCCGCGTCTCGGGGCCTTCGTCCGTTCGTTCAGTCCTTCAAAACCCAGACCCCAGAGTGGGAGGAGGTGTGGTTACCCCACTTTGAGGATGACTCAGGTGGGAAGCACCCAGCCGGGCTGGGACCCCAGACTCGGGGAGAAGGTGTCCCACCCACGTGTGGCCCGAAGCCAGCATATCACCCTCCCTGCACCTCAGGTCCCTCCTCTGGGAAACAGTGACCACAGGACCAGCTGCTCAGAGACATGAGTCAGCCAGGCATCCTCTGAGCTTCATCTGGACCCCAGAAGTGCCCCTACTGCCCCCGTGGGGCCCGCCACCCCACCCCGCCCCCCGAGACTTGGGCCGAGTCGGACCCTTGCAGAGTTCCTGCTGCCAAATCCCTGAAACGGCCTGATGACCCCGCACTGTGTCATTTCTTGGACTTTTGCACATTTAATGAGTGTGGTCTCGGCCCCCCGACTACATCAGATCTTGCACCGTGGCCCCGCCCGCACCATGCCTGCCACAGAGGACGGCCCGAGGGTCGCAGGTGTGGCCCCGCCAGCCCCCACCCAGCCCACAGGTGCGGAGCTTGCTGGCGTCACAGATGGGGAAATGATCATTTGTGGAAGGCTTACTGTGCGTCCGGGTGATAGGGAGTGATTTCTCAACCGGGATAGGCCACGACCCTCATAACCGCGGGGAGGAAGTGGGAAGTGGGCTGGGCTCTGGGAGCCACTGATAGTGGAGGCCGGATTATCTATGGGTGCTGTTGACACAAAGGGCAGGTGCGGCCAGGAGCTTCCTTGATAAGGACAAAGACAACCCGATCCCTTCCTGTTTCGCCGTGGGGCCCGGGAGAGCCAAGCGGCGGTGCCAGTGGCTGGGGTCAGCCTCCTAGACTGAGGGGCCGAGACCCTCACTGCCCGATGGGTCGGCGGTCAGGGGTGTGCTCTCCCATGAGAGTGAAAGGGAGTGGAGAGTAAATTTGGTTTTATGGCGGGGCTGCACTGATTTGGAACCTCCGTGTGCGTATTTATTTATGTGAATCACTGGACAAATAGAATTCCTCCGGAGAGCTGGGCTGGCTGCTGAGCCCTGGCCCCCAAGGTCCACTGTCTGGTCGAAGGGACAGCTCCTCCCGCGCCCTGCCCCCACCCCATCCACAGAGGGCCCCACCCCTGCCCCCATCACCCCAAGGGTCTGTGACGCGGGGAGCGGGCACTGTCCACTGGGGCTGATCCCTGAAGCTGAGCACGTTTGTGTCCTAGGGGTCAGGGAGTGGCTCACAGGCTACCCCTCCTCTGCCCCCAAGGGGCCACCAGCCCCACCAAGCAGCCTCGTCCACAGTGCCATTTCCCCACTGGGCTCAGGGACCTGCCAGACCACTTGATCACCAGGAAGGGGGGACAGAATGCACTGTTATCCACACGTCCCTCACTGCGGCTCCCCATGACACATGGACCATGGGTCAGTCCCTCTGACATCAGCACCACAGGGGTGTGTGGGAGGTGGAGGGTCTGTCTAATACTATCAACAAATTTAAAAGGTATTTTTCTCAGTATAAAATCCTATTTGCAATAATTACAGCACCATTTCTGGGTATATCCCTCAAAGAATTGAAAGCAGGGTCTTGAGATATTTGCATCCCCACATTCGAAGCGGCATTACTCACAGCAGGAAAAAGGTGGAAGCGGCCCAAGCGTCGTCGACGGACGAGCGGATAGACGTGGTCCATCCACACACCGGACCGTCACTCAGCCTGAACACGGAGGGACACGCTGACACCTGCCAGAGCGTGGGTGGACCTGGGGGACGTGATGCTGAGTGAGATAGGCCAGACACAGAGGGACAAGTACTGCAGGATTCCCCCCACATGAGGTCCTTAGAGTCTCCAGATTCACAGGGAACAGAGTGGACGGTGGGCGCCGGGGGAGGGGCGGGGGTCGGTGACTCAGGGGGACAGAGAGCAGACGATGGGCACTGGGGCCG